TAGTGTTTTCACCACAATGGTGGGTCATTGCCTAGTTACAGGACAAGCTATATGGTGTACATATGGCATGCTATACAGTAAGTCCTTTTCTACAAACCCTCAGAGGTGAAACAAGTTAAAACACTCTGAGTTTGGATTTGTTTTTATAATGTTTTTCCAGATATTCTTAGGTGTGAAAGGTTGACTAGCATCCGATCTCCCCAGAACAATAAATGAGCAGTTGTATCTATAACACTAGACTGGTCTGACTTCATACAATCAATGAGCCCTGCACCAAGAACATTGGGTAGAAATAGGCTACGTTCACACTGCAGGTGAAAGCGCATCAAATCCGATTTTTTTTGACCCTATGCGACCCATATCCAATCATAGTATGACAGTGTGAACGACACAAATCTGATATTTTCAAATCCGATCTGGGTCACTTTCGTATGTGGTACTGAATCCAATACATATCCGATGTTTTAGAAAGGGACTGCTGTTTGAACGGTCATGTCGCATTAAATCCATCTTTTACGTCACTGACACAAGACAGACGCCAATTATCAGCGCCGGAGAAGACATCGTGAACACTTCCTGGCCATCCAGTGTAGATGTCAGTGAAACTGTTGGGAAGACAATGTTGGAGAAACGTGAACATTTTATTTGTACTGTATAATCTGCAGATTCTGACAGAAATCTGCAATTATCCTTTGAAGCACCGCTCCTCTAAAACAGCAATCAGGATAATTATTAGGTTATTTACATTATTATGTAAATAACAAAATAACTTAAAGCAAAAATTGGGAAACGTAAAGTCCGAAGTCTTTATATTAAGGTCCATCAGTCAAACAATATTGTTTGCTCGGGGTCTAAACAGAGCGCGTTGTGTGTTACGTCTTCTTTTATGCATGGGGGCCGCTTTGAGGGTTCACACTAGAGCGCGTTTGCTGTCGCATTTTATTTGTAGTGTGAACAAGCAGACCAAAAAAATCGAATTTGATCAAAAAATCTAAATTGAGCATTAAGCCCTGCAGTGTGAACGTAGCCATAGATGTGTGGGCTGACTGTGTTATACAAATCTGTAATTGTGTTTTTCTCTTATTTGAATTTGCACTGCCTCTTTTCTGAACAGAAAACAGTTCAGCTGAAAAGTTTACACGACCAAGGAAGGAGGCCGAGTTGTGGTGATTTTTGCCCTTCATCTACAGGTAAGCTAACTACAATCAGTCACATGAAAATAAATGCCTTAATGCTTCACCATGTTGTTTGTGTGCTTTGCAGATATACAGATTTTGACAGTGACCAGTGCTGAATACTGCTTTCAGGTTTAAATTTTGTGGTTTGAATTTAAACCAAAATTATTGGTCTGTTTAAACTACTAGTATGAAAAGTAATCTAATGTAATACGATGCATTATCATATATATGTATTTACAATAATTACATTACTTACATTTGTCAGACACTCTAGTGATGACAGAATATTATTGCATGTCGAATCCAAACATGCAAACATTGACTTCTAATGTGCTGATCAGGGTCAACCAGTCTGATTATATTATGTTTTAAGTTACCTTATTTGGCATTTCCTGTTTTTGACTGCAGTTCCTTTGAACAGGAAAGACTTTTAAACGGCCCTGCTAGCATGATGAATTTACTGAGCACCATGAAGTCAGCAGTAGGATTATTAATTTTCCTTCTCAGTCATGATGCCTCAACGGGTACGTTATATGTCTTTCTCATATAATAACACAAACTTGATCTGATGTTAACCATTCCAGGTATTACATTTCAAAGCATGTAACTGGTCGAATTTACTTATTTCCTCTGTTCTCAGTAAGTCATTTTTTTCTGTTTTATTTAAAATGGTCATATATAAATTCTGATTTTGGTTAGTACAGTGTATAGAAGTATCATATCTAAAGTGAATGTTACACCGGATGCCATTTGGTGAGATCAAGTGATATTTGACAAAAAATTAATTCATATTTTATTTTTCTCAATGTTCCAGCAGCTCCAATAAACATTGCTTCAGCATCGACAGAGAATGCAAGTAAGAGAATACTTCACTTATCTGGTTATATTCCAAGGATGATACCAGATGATAAGAAAGTAACTTGGCACAAATGAGCAAAACAGGCTTAATTTTAGCACTTAGAACATAAAATATTTCAAGGATAGTTTTACATCAGAAAATATAATTTACAACAGTAAGTACTTTCATTTTATATATATATATATATATA